CCTGAGTAACTCAGTGATTGCAAGGCCCTATCTCAAACAATTTTTTTAAAAAGGAGCTAAGAATGTAGTTCAGTGTGAAGGTACTGAGTTTAACTGCTACTAAAAAAAAAAAAAAATATTGCTGGTACATGGAAAGGAAAAATGGCCAGTGATAAAATTAGTTTGGGGAAAACTCAATCCAATACAAACAAGTTATATTCCTATAAGACTTTTTGGTCTTTAATACTCAAATGTACAATGTAAACTTTTAAGTACAATAGGCAACATTTTGTATCAATCAAAGGATGTTTTTCTCTTAAGACTTGTACTTTACAGACCATACATTGGAAAATACTTCAGATCTTCAACACTGAAAAGTAGACATTGCCACTGAGGAAAACCCAGCACCGGGAATAGAGCGGATTTCCCGAAAACATGTCACCAGTTGAAGAGTAACCCATCATTCCATGATGTGGTCCTGCTGTAACACTCACTTAGGACAAGTTAGTCACTGTAGACACCTAAGTATTCACTGAAAATACTCTTCACCGACCATACACAACACCCACAGTTGTTGAACGGCACCTGGAAGACACCCTCAGGGGATACTCACCCACCTTTAGCAGAACATGGCTTTACTATGCCATGCTTCTTTTTATCTCTACCAGTTCTACTCTTTCTGCCCTTCAATTTTCATCAATTTCCAGCCAATACCAAAGAATGCTATTAAATGTAAATTATAGCATAAACAGCACATACAGCACAAGACAATTCTTATTTTTAAAAAAAGCACTTAATAAATGCTGATTATTTGAAAAGGCTGGCCAGATAGCTCAGCAGACTAAAGCACCTGCTTGGGCAGAGCACAGTAGCCAGGGTTCAATCCCCTGTGCAGTGCTGGCCCCGCCCCTGGGGCACACTGAGGTGGCAATCGAGACTGGGCGTGGTGGCACGCACCTGTAATCCCAGCACTTGGGAGGCTGTAAACAGGTGGGTCACTATGAGTCCAATCTAGTAGTGAGACCCTGAACACCCCGTAGACCCTTTCCTAAAATACAAAAAATAAAATATAAATGCTGATTATTTGAACCTCAAGCAAGCCTTTCTGACTTCAAACTATGTCAGTGAAATACTCCACCTGTCAGTAATGTAAGCCCCACCACACGATCCTAGGCTGAGTGCTATGCTCAATTCCTGTGATATCTCTATTCTGCAGCTGTGCTGAGTGCTTGGTCTAAGCAGCGGGCTCAAGGCCACCTCCCAGGTCCTGCCTCTTACTCTGTCAGCCTGCTACAGGGCAGGAGAAGCTCCGGGCACCACAACCTCAAAGGCACACTCAGGACACCACCCAGCTCTAGTGCCAAATGTGCTCTCACCTGTCTCTCTTCTGTGCCTCGTACCAAGTACAAGTATCCAACCTTCTCAGCCAACAAAGCTGAAAATGTTAGGGTTAGCTGTGATGTTTCCATGTTCTCTATCGATCTCTGCCAGCAGCTTGGCGCAGTTACTAAGTCCCCCAGACTCCCTCTCTTAAAGACTCCTCAATAATTACTTCCTATCCCCACTGTTTTATCTATGCACTGGTATGACAGGTATCCCCTGGCCACATACACTTGTGGAATCTTTGCCCAGGCTATCCTCCCAAGGGCCATATAAATGTAACACTGCAAGGCACAATTCTGATGTCATTCCATTTGAAAATAGTCACAGTCCCTGTTAAGTTTAAAAATATCTAAGCTACTAGACTGTTAGGAGCCACAGAACCTGGAAAATTGGTCAAAGGTATCGACTAGGCCTCACTGCCTAAAGTAGACAAGCTACCTCGATCCTGAGACAAGCATCCTGACTGGTTAATGTCCGCTATCTGTCATTAGGCAACCTTGTGTCACGTGTTACTTTGTAAAGGTATAAATAAACATCCATTTTGTTTGGGGGTTGGGGGGGCCGACTCGCCAACCAGGCTGATGAGTCACAACCTAACCCAGCTCTTGCCTTCTCTCTCTCTTCCTCATTCCTGCCACTGTTTCTCCCTGTTAGAACAGATCATACTGAGACCCTCAGATCCTTACATCTGGTGCCTGATCTGGACACCTGGAATGAGATAAGTGTGGGCAGCCGGAACACTTCCAAAGAGCGCACAGAAGGGAGGAAAGTGAACTTTTTAGAGCCAGCAGAACTCAGCACAGGCACAAATTGGTGCTGGTACATTAGGTGTAAAACTTGGGGATGGAGGCTCACTAGGGCCAGAACTGGGTTCACTAGGGCCAGAGAGATAAAGGAGCATTAAAAAGAGGAACAGGTTTGAGAGAAGCCAAAAAGGGAAAAAAAAAGGGACAGTTTCAAGAACTATAGATATTTACA